AGGCCGGCCCAGGCTTCCACGGGCGTCTGGATGGCCAGAAGGCCTGCCACTCCTACCAAGTAGAGGACGTGGTGCGTCCCAGAGCTTGGAGACCTTCCTCCGAATTCTGCAGAGATGAACAGGAAATGAATTACACAAGCATTTTTCATTTCATGTCTAGACTCTAGGAAACAACCCATAACCCACTAGGAAGCAGACAAGAAGCATGGGGCTGTGAACCCGGCCCTGGAAATGCCTCCGAGGAGGACGGAGAAGCAACAATCTGGACATTCAGTCGCGGTTTAGAAGGTCAGCACCAACTTCGGACAGATGTCCGGGACTTTAAAGGACAAATTTGCTTGTGTATTGTGCTGAACTGCCACACTCTCAACCGGGGACTCACACTGCTGGTTTATTTCCAGTTTCAGCACTGAAGGTCACATAGAGGAAAAAAAAGAGAGAACCAGTTGGCTTTCAATGGAATTTTGGCTGAGTTTTCAGCCAGCATGTAATAAAGAAGTTATTCTCCTTGGGCACATTCAATTTTTAGACTGCTAACGCATGGCAAACACACAGAAACTCTGTGTTTCAGAAAGATTCTAAGGACGACCCAAAACTGGTGTAAAATCAGGGAAAGCCAATTTTCCTTAAACAGATTTACGTCCTGAGGATCACGTTGTAGCTATCTGGTGACTTTTGGAAAATAATTACAAAAACTAGAAAAATGGGATGGCAAAGGAGACCTTGCCGATCTTTTTTTAATACAGAGATCATTTTTTAACCATTTTTGCCTCATTGTTATATCTTTGAAATTCCTACATAAAGCTGTTTCCACTAAACTTAATTTCTCTAGGACTAGGGTCCACCCTACTCATTTCTATGTTCCATGCGTGCATTATGGTATCCGCCATGGGGAAAGTCTGTGGTAAGCATTTAGTGCGGTTCACCAAATATTTCTGATTTCTCTCCCTCCAAGAACATGAGAAGATCATGTCTTCCTGCCTGCTGGACATAGGCATGGCCGCTGACACGCCTTGGCTCGCCTTTTATCAACTGGCCACTGAAACATGAGTGCAAGTAATATCACTTCTAGGACAAATCCCTTAAGATGCCGTACGTGAGTCACCATGTTTCGTGTCCTTCCCTTCACGTGGTGACTGACAGCAGTCCAGATGGGGAGGGCCCCCCCAACAGCCATCCAGGACTGAGCTTCACCCTAAGCCAGCCCTCCACAGACACGTACCATAAACAATAATGAAAACTTGATTCTTTTTTTAAATTCATTTTTATGGGCAGCCCCAGTGGCGCAGTGGTTTAGCGCCGTCTGCAGCCCGGGGCGTGACCCTGGAGACCCCGGATCGAGTTCCACGTCGGGCTCCCTGCATGGAGCCCGCTTCTCCCTCTGCCTGTGTCTCTGCCTCTTTCTGTGTGTCTCTATGAATAAATAAATAAAATTAAAAATAAATAAATAAATTCATGGATCACGACCTGAGCCAAAGGCAGACGCTCAACCACAGAGCCACCCAGGCGTCCCGAAAACCTTATTCTCTTAACAACTGAGATAGGAGCGTTCTGTGTTACTGCGGCATGATCTAGCACACTCCAGGTGATTACAAAAAAAAAATTCTAAGTGAAACTTTTCAATGAAGAAAACTCAAGAAAGGAAAACCTGAAGATGATAGGTGGAATGACCACTGCCACTGAAACCGTGGTTCTTTTTTCATAATCCCCTACAAGTGCAAACCTGAGAATAGTGCACTTACCCCAGCCCGACACGAGCACTACTACAACCAAGCCGACTACTGGTCGGCTAATCCTGCTGCCTAATGCCCCTGCCGTCAGCACCACCTCCCTAGGACACTAAGGTCTATAGAGAACAGCCTGTTCTCATCTCTTACGCCAGAATAACAGGTTTGTTCCTCAGAAACGAGTACCCTTCACTCGATGACTGAACACCGTAAATTTATATTTAATAATATATTTAATAATACATTAAATATTATATTTAAATGAATTATTATTTAAATCATTAAATTTTAATTTAATAAATAAATTTAATAAATACACAAATTTTTAATTTAAATTATTATTTAAACTATATTTAAATAAATTATTATTAAATAGTATATTTAATAATAATATCTGACCAAGAGGTCAGAGCACTGGAAGCAGAAACCAAATGCTGCTTTATAGAACAAGAGTATTTAAGGAGCCCAAGGGGAAAATGAGAAGGATAAAGCAACACCCACCCCCATGCGCACACACACCATACATAGAAGAAAACGGTGCACAGACGGGCCGTAATACCAAAAATGTGCTGTGCAGTTAGGCAGAAAGAACTCCGCAGTCACATGAGCCCGACCTTTGCTGGGAAGCACCTGGAGCACTCGCACCTGCTCCTTATGCTGCTGCTAGCATCCTAGGCACACCACTGCCTCCCTTCCCCAGTGGGTCTCGAATGATGAGGCCCCTTCATGTGCAACTTAGAAAGGGAAAGGATGGATGGATGGATGGATGGATGGATGGATGGATGGATGGATGGGAATCAAGAAAGAAACACAGCCAAACGTTTGAGAGGGAACACATGTAGGAAACCCATGAAGGTCCCTAAGGCAGCGGTGAATAACCACCTTCATGAAGCAACTCAACTCCTGCCTCCCAGCCTTGCCCTCCTTTTTCTTTTTTTTTTATAAATCTATTTTTTATTGGTGTTCAATTTGCCAACATACAGAATAACACCCACTGCTCATCCCGTCAAGTGCCCCCCTCAGTGCCCGTCACCCAGTCACCCCCACCCACCGCCCTCCTCCCCTTCCACCACCCCTAGTTCGTTTCCCAGTTAGGAGTCTCTCATGTTCTGTCTCCCTTTCTGACATTTCCCACTCATTTTTTCTCCTTTCCCCTTTATTCCCTTTCACTATTTTTTATATTCCCCAAATGAATGAGACCATATAATGTTTGTCCTTCTCTGATTGACTTACTTCACTCAGCATAATACCCTCCAGGTCCATCCACCTCGAAGCAAATGGTGGGTATTTGTCGTTTCTAATGGCTGAGGAATATTCCATTGTACACATAAACCACATCTTCTTTACCCATCATCTTTCGATGGACACCAAGGCTCCTTCCACAGTGTGGCTATTGTGGACATGGCTGCTATAAACATCGGGGTGCAGGTGTCCCCGCGTTTCATTGCATCTGTATCTTTGTTGCCCTCCTTTTCCATTCGCACCCAGATAATGACAGATCCCAGGTGTGGCCTCTGTAATCCCTCCTCCATCCTACCTGAAACCGCGGTCTAGCTGTTGCTCCAAGCGTTTCATTAAAAACAGAAGCCAGGCCTGTTGACTTCCAGAGTTGGGACGAACCTACAGGAACATCTAGCCAGCTGACTGGCACCTTGTACAGATGGGAAGGTTGAATGACCCGCTTAAGGTCACACACCTGAATAGCTGGAAGCCGCTCAGGCTCTGCAAACCATCAACAAGGACCGACTCCTTGTTTACCTTCAGACTGTCGACCTACTTGCTCTCTCTACCACTTTTATTTTATCCCCATTAAGTAGCTCTTTTCACTTTCAATCAACCCTAAGGGATCTTGACATCAATCAACCTCTCCTGGCATTTCCCCATCTCTACCTCTTTTTAGTTCATGTTAACACAAGCTTATAGAGCAGTTACTACACGCCGGGCATTGTTCTAAGCGCCTTAGAAATATTGACTATTTTAGGGGCACCCGGCTGGCTCAGCTGGTAAAGGATGCAATTCTCGATCTTGGGGCTGTGAGCTCAAGCATGTTGGGTACAGAGATTACTCGGTAACAAAATATTTTTCAAAAAAGTTTTTTAGGGGGATCCCTGGATGGCTCAGCGGTTTAGCACCTGCCTTTGGCCCAGGGCGCAATCCTGGAGTCCCGGGATCAAATCCCACATCAGGCTCCCTGCATGAAGCCTGCTTATTCCTCTGCCTGTGTCTCTGCCTCTCTCTCTCTCTCTCCTCCACCATAAATAAATAAATCTTTAAAAAAAAGTTTTTTAAAGAAGTATTAATTTATTTCATCACCATGATACGGGGGGGGGTACTATTATTATCCTCATTATGCAGATGAGACGCAGAGCAATTAAGTGACTTGCGCTCAGTCCACCGCCAGCATCAGAAGACCACGTAGACTGGGCTCGGAGTTGAGTTTTTTAGCACCGTCCGCCGCTCTCTCTCTCCGTTGCTGCATCCCCTTCCTTCCCGAAGATCAGAAAGTCAACGCTCCCCCTGCCTCATCGAGAGGTCACCTTTGAAAAATACGACTTTCAGAGTAATCTAGCCATTGGGCTGTTAAGACCACCCAAGGAAAACTGCTTATTTTTCCCTTGCACACATTCTGGAGCCTTTTTGTTCTAACAGCGGAACACATGGAGGGGAAAAGAAATCAGTAAACTATTCTTTTTTTTTCCCACACGGACTGACCATTTGGCATGTAAACAAGGTGAGGAAACTGAGCTAAGCCCCGAGGACTAGACAATGTGGTACGAGTTAAAGATAAAGCTAAACTTGCGCTGAATTTATCGGGGATGATTGATTGGAACCTAACCGAGGAACTCGTGTGTTTGTTCAATCTGAAGAAGGAAGGAGCCCTGTTTTGGTAAGATAACCTTAAGTCTGGCTTCTGTTTTATTTTTGTTATGTATTTTTGTAGTTTGGGGGTATGAGCAGGAGTGCAAAGGTCTCCTGGCTAAAGCTCCTTTGTTAAGATCCAGAAAAACAAACAATCAACAGCGATGTTTTGGAACATCCCAGAGCTGCCCTGCACTCAAATATTTTACCTTCCATTTATTTAAGGAAATGAGCACACAAAGGCTTCCAGAATTGTGTTTGACCCAGTGGAGGTCACTACACCGGACCACACCGTGTTCTTGCATAAGACGCGGAGAGGGCAGTAGGGTAGGAAGGAGGAAATGGCCATGCAGACTGATAAATACAAAACTGCCCATTCTCTTGACCCTCGGGCAGACAGAAAATAAAACCCACCTTCTGCGAGCGTGGCAAGAGCAGCTTCACCTGGAAGGCAATCTTTATGGGGTACTTGGGGTGCGCATGACGAGGCCGTCCTCTGAGTCGGAAGAAACAGACCCCAGGCACCCCACGGCAGAAAGAGGGAAGGGGCAGTAAGAGCAGTGGACGTTCTCCAAAACTTCAGATTTCAGCCTCCAAATGTCTCCCTCAGCAAACTTCCCAAGAACTGTTTAAACACAGTTTAATAAAAATAAATAAATAAAATAAATAAAAATAAATAAATAAAAATAAAAAAAAACGCAGTTTAACACCCCTGATCCAAAAAAATAAAAAATAAATTAAAAAAAAATCCCTGATCCATCCATTCCCTGATCATCAGCTGCTGGAACTGGGAGGGGCCAAAGGTCGATCGATCATTGATCGGCCCGATGCGTGGGGGTGCGTCCGGGCCCAGGAGCCGTGAGACCCGCCGGCGTAGACTGTAGCACCCCTGCTCCATCGGCGGCCTCGGAGGCGGGCAGGCTCCCTAGGATTTCAACGAAAGCATCAGGCAGGTGTGCTTTTACGTGGCAAGAGAAGTGAAGGTGTTTAACCCACTGTCCCTCCCGTAATGATCGCTTCTCCTGAGAATGAAACCGACCGCTGCTAGAAGGCCTGGGTGCTAAGCACGCAAGCCCGGGCGGGTGCGTGGTCCCAGCGAGGCCCACAAGGGCCGCCCCGGGCCGTCAAGCTCCGCGTGGGGTGGGCGGCTCGTCTGAGCCCCAGGGGTTCCTCGCCAACCCCAAGCCTATTGGGGTGGGGGGGGTCCCTGGTAGGACACGGCGGTGCTGTGTGCAAACAGCCGGGGCACAGGTCGGTTCTTTACACCCGGGGAATCAGCTTTTCCAAATCTCGTCCCAGGCACGGAAGGCGGGGGCGCGGAGACACCCTTCGTAAGGAAGGCTCGGACCGGCGCTGCTGGGGCCCGTGACATCTCTAGGGTCACCGCGATCCGGTGGTGACCCGCAGATCTCACATTAGTCCCCTACGGGACACGCATACGAAGCCAGCCTCCCGCGGTCACGAGCAGGAACGCAGACATCCGCTGCCCACGCCCCTGCACACGGACCTGACGAGGCCTAAGAGCCGCCTGCACTTCTGTGGGCCCCGCGGGCGCCCTCGGTTCCACCGTCAGCCCCACTTTCAGACCAGAAGTGGCCACATGCGCACGAAGGACCCGAGGGGCCGCGGCACGTCTCGCACCTGGCGCCCGGCCGCCCGGAGGCCCCGCTTCCCCCAAAAGCCACGAAGCCACGAGTTCCAAGGGCCTGCACGTGAGCGGGAGCCCAGGGCAGCCCCGGGGGGATGGGACGGGCCGGGGCTGGGGGCTGGGGAGCGGCGCCCACTGACACCCACTGTGTTGGGGAAGAGGACGGCGAGTCCAGCAAGTTGCAGGAAACAGGGGCAGCAGGCGACAGGACTAGCGACAGTGGCAGGAAAGAGCCGCTGAGCGCTGGGAAGGGCCCCGGGGGGAGCGTGCGTCCGTGGGAAGAGGGGTAAGAGCAAGAGCCGAGGCCAGAACCGCTCCCGGGCGCTCGGGCCCGTGCCGACCCGAAGCCGTGGCCTCTGAAGTCCACCTGCCTTGTGTCCCAAACCTTCCTACGGGTCTGCACAAGAGCGGACTGGGCTCCTCTGGATTTACAGGCCCCTCAGCTCCAGGGCCAAAGCCAGGCTGCTCGGGGCCGCGGTAAAGGGCGGGAGGGACCACGAGGGCAAGCGGGAAGCTCGTGGCCACAGGCAAACACTTAGACAGCCAAGGTCACAGCCACTGGGGATGCGACACGGGCGCCCGGACGGACAACCACAGCGGGAGACCCCCTGTCTTCTGGAGACGCAAATACGTCTCCAAAAAGAAAGAAAAGAAAAGGAACACAGATTTCCTCTGGGAAACAAGACAAACGGTACCAACGGCCACTCCGACCCCGAGGAATCCACGTCCGAAGGCCGCGGCCTGTGGCAGCCACGTACAAGAGAAGAGCTGCGAGCCGTGGCCCCCAGCTCCCGGCGCACAATCCCCAAGGCCCAAAGGCCCCGAGACACCCAGTGCATAGGTTTGCTCAAGGCTCAGTTTGTGACAAAATCTGACCTGAATTTGCCCGAAGCTGTGTATTCTCTGCATTTATGCAACATGACCATTCCCGCCATTACAAGGACAAAGAGTCCACGTGTTTGCGCAGCAGAGGACGCTACTCGGGGTGCCACGCGCAGCACGGTCTGCGGCCTGGAGATGATGTGGAAATCCCTGGAACGCGAGACGCCCTCGGCCCCGGAGCTCAAGGGGTGGCCGTGGGTCCGTGCCCGGTGTGGCTACTCCACGCTGCCAGGGAGTCTGAGACACACACCTGGGCCGGCGGGTAAGCGGTGACAGGCGGCCCCTCGTTAGCGCAGCACTCGGGTCCCGCAGCCGAGGCCGGGCCACCCCGTGCAAGCTGTGGTCGGGCAGGGCCACGTGCAGTGGGAGCAGCGCGGACTTCCGCGGCCAGAGGGGGGCACTTCGGGCCCACGGTCCCACACACGCGTGGCCGCGAGCACGGGACTCTGGACGCATCCCAACGCAAATAGGGGCCGGGGACTACCACTGACGCCAGGCCCGCGCCTGCCCTCCCCCTGCCGGGGCCCCTGTGGCCCAGTTGCTTAAGTCTTGCAGAAACCCAGCGACACAGAAGCCGTGGGTGATCCCGCGAGGAGACCCGGCGGACGCGGCATTGACCCGAGGCCGCGGAGCTGTCCCTCCTCCGCCCACCCAGCCAGGGCTGCCGTCTGGAGACAACGGGACACTCGTTTCCTTCCCTGGTCAGGGATTGTCTCTCCCCGCAGGACAGGTCCCAGGCAGGCTCTCGGTCACGGGGGTCGGCGTCACCGGGGCCACCCACCCGCCACCTGGACGACGCCAGCTGCTCTCTGCTCCGGCGCCACTGAAATCACCTCCCGCTGCATCTCCAAACACGGTCTCGCGTGTTCACGACCATGACTGCCTCTGACTCGATCTGAAACATGAGCGCGCTGTGGAAGCTCAGTCCCACGGGTGCCCTGGCCACGCATGCAAATCCCACACGCGCTGAGCCACAAGATGGGGCCCGGGACATCCGGGTAGGTGTCGTTGGAGAACGGCCAGGTCCCGTCTGGTGACAGCCCCCGAGGCCCCATCCCTCCTCGGCGCCCAAGCCCGGATGGAGGCCGATCCGTGGCCACCTCCGATGCGCGGCCGCAAGGTCACCCCAAGTCGGGGACACTCGCGGGACCCGCGGCCCACCGCTTGCTGTGGCCTCGGGAGCTGGGGAAGCCTGGGCCACCCCGCCCGGTGCTCCCCTCGGAGCTTGGGCCCCCTCCCACCCTGCGGCCCCACCCGCATCACCCCCAAGCGCCCGGTGTGGTGGGCCCAGGGCCAGGGCTGTCCCTTCAGCCGCCGCCTTGGAGAGGAAAGTCCCGGGTCCACTCAGAGCCTGTGCCCGAGGGACAACCCTCTGGCCGTCCTGCCCGCCGAGGCCCAGGGCGCGAGCACCCACGCAGCAGACGCTACTGGCTCCCATGCTGGCCGCCGCGGGTGCAGACACAGCCGCCTTCTATCGCCCGAGCCACGCGAAGTCACAACCTGGCCGGGCCAGTGCCTCCGCAAACCAGCCAACGAGCCCCCCACTGTTTCCCTGGTCTACTGCAGAGGTCACTTTCTGTGTCTGAAGAAACTAGGGATTCTCTTTCTTCTTTCTCGTTTCTCCTGTGTCCTCGTATACACTTTCAGATTTAAATATTCACCTTAAAAATTTTATTTGAAATAAGGTAATGCTAGGGGATCCCTGGGTGGCTCAGCGGTTTGGCACCCGCCTTTGGCCCCGGGAGTGACCCTGGAGACCCGGGATCGAGTCCCGCGTCAGGCTCCCTGCGTGGGGACTGCTTCTCCCTCTGCCTGGGTCTCTACCTCTCTATGTGTGTCTCTCATGAATAAATAAATAAAATCTTAAAAAATAAAATAAAATAAGGTAATGCTAATCGTTCAGGTAATTTCCAAAGAAAGGGAGACTATCTGAGGAGTGACCGCCAGAGCTCACCGCAGAAGACAAAGCACCCGCTGTGATCCACGCATCTCTGTTCATTTTGAGAATCGCATCCTTTGTATAGTTCTGCCTTCAAGGAAAGTCCATTTGACCGTTTCATTAGAAATGCCATCTCCCGTCTTATGCTTTCCACGCTCATTATGACATCAGCAAGCAGACAGAAAAGGACCAGGGGCAATTCTAAAACCGTCACCAAAAGTAACATCAGAAGTCATTTCAAAATAGCTACTATGGGGGGCGCCCGGCTGGCTCAGTCCGTAGGCTGTGCACGTCCTGACCTCAGGGTCATGAGCTCAAGCCCCAAGTCGGGTGCAGAGTTCACTTAAAAAGCAAACAGAAGGGGATCCCTGGGTGGCTTAGCGGTTTAGCATCTGCCTTTGGCCCAGGGTGTGATCCTGGAGACCCGGGATCGAGTCCCACGTCGGGCTCCCTGCATGGAGCCTGCTTCTCCCTCTGCCTGTGTCTCTGTCTCTCTCTCTGTGTCTATCATGGATAAATAAATAAAATATTTAAAAAACAAAAACAAAAACTACTCTGAACCTCAGTTTCCCCATATGTAAAGCAGGGCTAACAGCTGCTAATAATGTGCTAGTTTATTGTTATAAGCGTAAATGTCTTAATATACTCCTTTCTGGAGTCCTATTTTAAGATCATAAACAACCGTTCAACACAAGGCAGAGCAGAAAGCTCTCCAGACTTAGAATCAGGAGACTCACGTGGGGTGCAGCTCTGCGAATCTGCTCGGGCAAGCCAGTCGTGTGGCCCCCGGCATCTGGGTCACCCCCACGTAGTCTTGGTTCCGACCCAGGCGTTCCTCCGAGGGGCTTACCTACATGGGCCTCCTCTGCATGGCAGTCCTCTGAGGTGACTCCTGGGAGCCCCATTTCACGACGAGGAACCAAACCACAGAACAGTTAAATAAGTCACTCCGGGTCTCACGAGTCGGGGTCTCACAGGTCGTGGTATGACTAGATTCAACACTCAGATGTTTAGCATCGTGGCACTGACAGTCCTCATGGACACCGTCAAATGGTGAGAACCACCGCGGTGGTTGTAAGGCCCGAAGATCCAGGCCAAGGTGTAT